ATTCTCTTAACATTGAATGAACTCAATGGTCAAAGAAATCACCCCAAATACAATCTGTCTCCTTCTCTCTCCAACACTAATATGCTCTGCAGTGTTTGGGATAGAAAGCAGGTTGTGGTGTACCTGCCTGTAACTCTTTAAAATAGCTGCATCGTTTCTCGAGACTGCACAACCTGCTGTTTCTCTCAGACCTGCCTATAAGGCTGTACAGTGTAATTAAAACAGAAGATAGTTGCATCATAATTAAAAAGCCAGAAAAATAACTAAAGAAAAAAACAACACAGTAGACATACTTTCCCAGCTGGCACCTAACCATGGCACAAAATGCTTTGGCAATATCTTTTTTTGTTTGCTTTGTCTCCTGACATTGTCTTCATCTTGTTCCCAGTCAGTGGATAAGACATGCTGACATCATCCTGGTTTGTAGGGGTTAGTTTCCACCTTCTGTCAATAGCATCCAACACCAGTACAAGGTGTCAACTCTGCAATAAACCTGGCCGAAGCCATCTTGCTCATTTTCGGTTGCCACAAGAATGGGAGGAGGGTTATGGAGTTTTTATACTAGTCTGAACAATTCTCTGTCCCGTGGGAACCAAGGTCATTTCTGTTTGTTAGACTAGGGCACAGGTCGGCAACTTGAGGCTCTGAAGCCGCATGTGGCTCTTTCAGCCTTCTACTGCAGCTCCCAGACCTCCTCCACCATTTGCAGAGAGAGAGACAGAGACAGAGAGAGGCACTTGCGCTTCCCTTCTCTCTCTCTCTCCCCCCCCCCTCTCATCTTTTGCTCACCTGGCCAGCTGGCATCACGCTGTTCTCTGACAAGCTGACAAGCTTATTGGGCGGGCTCTCTGCCCTTGTTGCGTCTCCGCAGGAAGCAGCAGAGAGCAGCAGCTCTCTCTCTCTCTCTCTCTCTCTCTCTCTCTCTCTTTCTCTCTTTCTCTCTCTCTCACACACACACACTTTTACACACACACACACTTTTACTTACTTAGTGGGGGAAGAGGACTGGCAGACCAAGAGCAGGAGAGAGCCAGCCCAATAAGAATGTGTGTCAGCTTGTCGGAGAACAGCGTGAGGCTAGCTGGCCAGGTGAGCAGAAGATTAGAGAGAGGGAGAGAGAGGGGGGGGAGGAAAGAGAGAGAGAGGGAGGGAGGGGAAAGAGAAAGAGAGAGAAAGAGAGAGGGAGAGGAAAGAGAGAGAAAGAGAGAGAGGAGGGAGAGGAAAGAGAGAGGGAGAGGAAAGAGAGAGAGAGAGAGAAAGAGAGAGAGAGAGGGAGGGAGAGGAAAGAGACAGACAGAGAGAAAGAAAATATGAATATATGTTGTCCTTACTGGACTTTTAGTAAAGAACGTTTAATGAAATATTTTGATTTTTTTTAATTAAGAGATGAGGTATGGGGATAATTAAATGTGTTTTTTTCCCCTCTTTCTCCGGCATAAAAAATTGTTTTCTTTGTAGCAATTCATTGATTTCATAAATGCAACACACTATAGTTTTTTATACATAGCATAAAGGTAAAAAAAGGAAATATGCAGTGTTATCTTCATTTTAGATGTCAAAAGGGTTTTGTGGCTCCTGATGGTTTTTTTTTCTGTGAGAAACGGGTCCAAGTGGCTCTTTGAGTGTTTAAGGTTGCCGATCCCTGGACTAGGGGGCTGAGCATTATGTTAGAAAGCCTGCCAAACCGTTCTATTGGGAAACATAGTTGATTGCATAGTACTGGGGTGGGAAGTTTAACTTTGTAATAATGTAACTTTCTGGAGGGCATTTTAGTCTTGGTTTCACTTTTGACTGTGCCAATACTTTGTAGCCAATAAACATGTTCTTAGAGGAAAACTCACGCCTTGGAGTTCTGCTTAAGTTGGTCTCATCTATCAAAACCATGACACAAGGCTTGTAAAATCCGATGCCTATCCCTTCCCTTTCCATCAGTAGTGAAATTAGATGACATGGAGGGAGATCAGCTACTTGGCCACTTCAGGCCAATACAGGGTGTTTCTGCCTTTGTGATTCCCAGATCACCTGCTTCTTTACCACCATTCTCTATGTCTCTCTGAAAGAATAGAGCTCAGCCTGGTATATTATATTCCAGACACAGTGGTGTGTAAGTGCAAAGTGGAATGGACTTCTGTGTGTTCTTGCACACAGTAGGTATTGAAAGGACCAGAGCAAAACATTGCACCTCTATAGAGACTTCTGAGGTGCTGACACACTGGGAAGAGGAAACATGGATTTGCCTAATTATGAAAGTGCACATGACTTCAGTACTTGACTTGCTTTCTCCTTTTATTTTATCATGATCTCATGTGTTTGTTTGGGCACAATATTATGTCTGTGTGTGACTCAAATCTCTTCATGATTCCATTTACTTGCCAGTGCTTAGTTTTTATTTATCAAGAGAAAGGATGCAAATATTCACAATCAGATCCTGCCCCATTCCAAGATTACTGCCATGATAGTTGGATATTTTCCCACCAATTGGTGACATTTAGCAAAGATTCCAAAGCTGAAGCAGTCAATCAGACATTTTCCTTCACATAGCTGATGGATGTCTAATCAGATCACCATCATTTGCATGTGAGTTAGAAGAAATGCAATGTAGCCAAGACAGGGACTGGCAATCTGGGTACTTAAAAATATATCATTTAAAATTTCTCCTGACTAAATGGATGGATCATGAACCAGTTTGGTGCAGTGATTAAGATATCAGGCTAGAAAATGGGAGACAGTGAATTCAAGTCCTCCTTATGCATGAAGCCAGCTGGATGACCTTGGGGCAGTCTTTCTTTCTCAGCCCTCGGACAAAGGCAAATTACTTTTGGAAAAACCTTGCCAAGAAAATTGCAGGGATTTGTCCAAGCAGTTGCCAGGAGTCAATGTGTACTGACTTGAAGGTATCAAAAAAAAGTGTGTATGTATCTGTGTGTATAGGTTTGATAAAATTCATCTTCTCAAATTAAAGTGCCAGATTACATATTAAAAACAGAAAAAATAAGTGTGCTTCTCCAAGGAGGGAATCCCAGTCCATGTTTGATTAGGTTATTGAGGCATGTGTAATACAAGCTAAACTTCCAGGAATAATTGGGGTGTTGAAGGAAAAGTCTTCATCAGGGTCCAGTCCAAGCCAGGAATAAACAACATGGCGACTGCTTTAGAAAGAAGGTTGTAATTTATTGAAGAGGAGAGCCAGACAGAAAAATGGCTCCGGAAGAAAAGAGAGAGCACATGTAGTAGGGAGTGGGGTTTTTTATACCTTCTTGAGCTTTTGTTTGGAGTTGTTCCTGTGTCATAAACTTTGACCTGAGTTTGAGTGTGCCTTTCTGGTATTCTGATGGTGGTGGGTTAATCCTATCATGTCCTGAGTTTGGGTGGGGTATATAGATTTTAAGGGTCTTTGTCTTCCTGATCTCTTCAGCTTCTAGCTCAACCTTTTTAATGCCGCGACCCCAACCAGTCGTAAGTCGAGGACTAAACCGGTCATAAGTCGAGGACTAAACCGGTCGTAAGTTGAGGACTAAACCAGACGTAAGTCGAGGACTACCCAACTGGTCGTAAGTCGAGGACTTTCCCTGCCCGGGAGCACCGCGCATGCGTGGTTCCGCCCCCTGCGCCGGCCGAGGCATAGCTGGCAAGCGGCAGAGACGGAGCAGGCTGACCACCAGCTGGCCCAGCCCAAGGGAGGTAAGGCACCCGCCGGAAAAGGGGAAAAAATGGCAGACAAAAAAAATGGCGGACAAAAAAAATGGTGGACAGCCTTGCTTGGCGACCCCCGTGAAATGGTCAATCGACCCCAAATGGGGTCCCGACCCACAGGTTGAGAACCACTGTTCTAGCTGGAGGGCTCCAACCTTCCTGAATGGATGATTACATCTGCATTTCTAAAAGCCAGTTTCTGCTGAGTTGTCTGGCTGGGGTGTGTGTGGAGAAGTTTCTGCCTTTTTAAAGATCTTCTCCATTATTACTTTGGGGAAATATATTCAGCCTTTTTAATATTCCCAAAAATATTTCTTTTCTCTGGATTGTTTCCACAGGGGCCAGTGAACTGGTTGTGTGCTTTTTCTCATCCTTGAAGCCACCTGTGCCTCCAATAAAAATTCTGAATCAAGAAAGACCCCCAAATTACATTGGGGTGCAACCTATCCAGAACAAGGCATTTACCCAGTTTCTAGATAGGCCCTTATTCCCAGCACTTCCTCTGGATAGGAGATTCAATAGTAGTTAATTGGCCTTATCCAAACCATTGTTGCCTCCAAGCCTGTTTCACAAAACAGTTTCCACCTCCCAGCCTCCCCCCTCCCCCTTAACCAGGCCCTTGAAAGCAGGTGGTGGTTTCCTTTATTTTGGGCAGACATGAAAACAAAGTTTCAACCAGGGAATTTTTGTGAACTCAAAGATGAGTGGCTGGTTCTTCCACTTGGATCCAATGATGATGCCATTGATGATGCAGAAAGGCGCCAATTCTAAGGACATCCGGAAGCCTTACTTTTGGCTCTAGAGTGCCCCTAGACTAGAGAATTGTCTGTGCACATATCCACATATTCCCTGCATATGGATGTAGAACATTTTAACTTTCTAGCCCCTTCAACCTGTCCTCGGCTTGCGACCCAATCATCTGATTCTTTCGTGGTTTCGCTGCAGATTTCAACTCTTTTGAGAACCGCCTTCGGGTTGGGGCGCTGGGACTGCGGCCCCCGAGGACGAGGAGCCTGCTGTTTCGCCCACAGCAGCTCCTCCGGCGGACAGACGGGAGTACACAATAGCCGCAGAGAAGGAAAAGCGGGGGCAAGAGGGAGACTCCTCCTTCTGGCCCGCCTCGCTTTGCCTCAGCCGGGTAACAACGCTGCATGATTCAGCCCACCTTCTTCCTCCCCAGCCTCTCACGGCGTGCCTCGTCCAGTTGCTTTTCAACCGGGCAGAGGAGAAGCTTGGACCGCTCGGTGCGCCGCCGCCGCGCCCGCCCCATGCCCGGCTCACCCTCCGGCGGCGCCCGCTAGCCGTCCATGGCGCGGCCCGGGGTGCTGCTCTGCTGCTGCGCCGCGGCGCTTCTGGCAGCGTGGTGGGGCAGCGCCAACGCCAGTCTGAGCTCGCCTCCCACTGGCGCCCCGCTGGAGGACGAGGCGGAGAACCAGGAGAACATTCTCTCGCAGGTAAGGCGTCGCCGGCCGCAGCAGCAAGCCCTCGGCGCCTTGGAAGAGGGAGTCGGACCTTCGAGATGATGTCCCGGCGGCGCATCAGGAACGATGGGGAGTGGACTGCAGGAGTCCACTCTTGAAGTGCACAGATTCATCCCTCACCCTGGCACAAAAAGCCGCTAGAAACGCCTCTGAACATGTGCAAAAAGCCCTTCACAATTAATTAACTTTGTGTACATCTGCAAGGGAGGGAGGGAAATCTATCTGGAATGGTCTTATCTCGGAAAAAGAATAGCAATAAGCTTGGATTGCATGGAGTAAAAGATGTCAGGGGAAGTTTATGCTGTAGACTTGACACAGCACAGAGTGTGGTACAGGTAGGGATCCCAGTTAAATCTTCAACATAAGTTTGATTTTATGGGATAATTTTAGAAGCAGTGAAGAACAGAGCAAGGAATCTACAGATAGGTTTCCAAATAAAGACAGCTTTATTTGAATTTAGTAGGACTTTCTGAAGGTTTACACCTGAATGGCTATGCCTAAAATTATAAGCAGATTTGTCTTGAATATGTTGCATTAAATCAACCCTTCTTAAGTTCATTTCAGGAAAGCTGGATCCTTGGCTCAGTAACAAAGTACAAGAGTTTCTATTGTGTAGAATCGACAAGCTTTGCATTATAGTGTTATACTCCACTTGTGCAGAATTTGTTTTGTCCTCACCTGTTACCTGTTAGACCCAGGTGGTGGTGATCAGTGCAGTAAAAGGACACGCAGCTGTAGTTTTAATGCATGGAGAAGCAAGCAAATAGAAAAGGTGCATCTGCTAAAATCTCTCTGTTCTTTGTGAACTATGAAATATGCAGAAGCAGCATCCTTATGCATTTGTCTTCTCCAGATATCTGGGACAAAAAGCCCTATGAAGTAGATCTCCACTCTCTCCATTTAGTAGACCAGGTTTAGCATTACTGCTTTGTTGCTCCTTTCTAAAAGGAACAAGCCCTCTTCTCCCTCTGCCTGCAGCCTATTACTTATTTCCAAGTCAGTTAACTGAATACTATAGAGCTCTCTTCTGAGAATATACATATAGAATTGTGCTGGGAGAGTAATGCTGTCTGTCAATTTCTCTGGTGCGTAGAGCCTGCAAGAGTTTTCACTCAGCTCCTCTTGGCTTTCCTTTGTAGCTGAAGCCAGCTAAAAGAGAAAAGTGCTGCAAATGGCAACATCTGTATAGTCTGTGGTGGCTGGGCCTATTTGTCATGAGCAAAATCAGTTGCATGCATTTATATTGAAGTAATTGTGCAATATAAATTGAAATTGTGTTGGGTTTGATGCTGAGCAAAAAGGCTTAAAACAGCTTTGGCAAAATATCTCTCTGGATGATGGGGGCCAATATCCCCTGAAATATTGCTTGCAATCAGAAAAGCATATGTTTGACTACTTTTATTTTCCAAAGTTGTGTCTGATCCAGGCATATTCCCTTAAAGGAAATTCTTTGAATTGCATTTAATGTTTGTTGAAACTTTGTGTTGGCTAGGCAGGATGTGCCAGTCTGTTTACAACCAGAAAAATGTCCTATTTATGTAGCACTAACATTGCACATTGGAGACTCTAGCTTCCTATCAAATATATCCTTTGGGGTTTTTTTAAATACATCATCTACTTTTTTTCTGAGGGCAACTCTTATTAAATATACCTAAGTTAGGGCAGCCTATCTTCCCAGCATGATTTCATCTACAACATGGGTGTCAAACTCACCGCGTCACATGAGGTGTCATGATGTATCATGACTTTTTTTTGCATTGCTGGAGCTGGGATGGGCACAGCCTCCATATGATGCAACCGGCCCATGGGCCGGTAGTTTGACACCCCTGATATTCTACAGGATGCATGAAAATAAAGGAGAGATGCAAAGACCTCATGTGGAGCTCTTCTGTTCACTTCAATGAAATTTGTACAGGAGAATTTCCCAACAGATTGTTCCCATTATATTTAAATGAGATCATTCTGGAGAATGTCTGGGTTGAGCACCGCAGCCTTTTAATTTCCCCAAACCCGAGAGAAACCAAAGTTGTTTAGGGGCAAGTTGACTAGTTTGGGGTTTGGTTTTTGGATTCTTTTAGGTGGTAGAAGAAAATTACTTTCTCATATAACCAAGGAGCAGTGAACATGAAGTGTCAGCAACATTTTAAGCCAGACAGCCATTTCTTCAAGGTTTCAGGATGTCAGAGTTTCTCCCAGACATTCCTCCAAAGCAAGCCCATTGAGATTTCCAGGACAAATTGATTGGCTTCCTTTCCCTCCCCTTCCCCCTCCCCCTCCCCCTCCCCCTCCTTGATTAGTTGCTAGGTGACTATGACAAGGTGAAGGCGGTGTCCCAAGGCTCAAACTGCCACTGCAAGTGTGTGGTGAGACCCCTTGGCAGAGGAGCATGTCAGAGGATCAACGAGGGCTCTTACAAAGCTGAGGATTTTTACATGGTGGAAACAATCACTTCTGGACCAGAATGCAAGTGCTCCTGTGTGGCTCCACCATCTGCTCTCAATCCCTGTGAAGGTGACTTCAGGCTGAAGAAATTGCAGGAAGCAGACAACAAGGACTTCAAGGTATTTGCCTTTTCTGAGTTTTACTGTAGTTAAAATGTATTTTTATTATTTCAGTTGATGCCACACCTTTCTACCCAAAGGGCAGTCATGAGGTTTTTCCTCTCCCAAGTAATGGGAAAATTAAGGCAGGTTTTAACAGGAGATTCATCTGAAGATTTGGTGTTCCTTTGCACTACTTGCAGATGTACGAGGCTGAGATATCAGGGGACAGGTATCCTCAACTTACGACCACAATTAAGCCCAAAATTTCTGTTGTTAAGTGAGACAGTTAAGTGAATTGCCCCATTTTACAACCTTTCTTGCCACAGTTGTTAAGTGAATCACTGCAGTTATTAGGTTAATAACACAGTTGCTAAGTGAATCTGGCTTCCCCATTGACTTTGCTTGTTGGAAGGTTGCGAAAGGTGGTTACATGACCCTGGGACACTGCGACCATCATAAATATGAATCAGTTGCCAAGTGTCTGAATCTTGATCACGTGATCATGGGAATGTTGCAACGGTCAGTGTGAAAAAAGGTCATAAGTCATTTTTTCAGTGCTGTTGTAACTTTGAATAGTCACTAAATGAACTGTTGTAAGTTGAGGACTACCTGTACTGTATACAGCAGCAGCAGCAGCAGCAGCAGTCATCCACCAATCCACCCCAAATTTTGCAGCATGGCCAGGAAACAATCTCCTCCCCAATTTTGTCCCAGCAAGTTGCAAACTGGAGGTGCTTCCCCTATTCACGGTCCAAATGTTAAGTTGTTATCTGGCTTGTATGCTAAGCCATGGTTCAAAAATGTGGCTTGTTAACTAAATTGCCATGGTATAAAAATGAAGGGTGGTTCAGTTTGGAGAGCACATGTCAAGACCAAACAAATCACATAAATGCTTGGCGAGGGATGGGAGCCCCAGTCTGTTTCTTCATGCAATCTCAGCAGGCCAGGGAATATCTGGACGTTAGAAGCTAGAAACAGTAAGATCAGGTTAGCTAAAATGGCAGCTGCAGTACTTCATCTTGGCTTGGTTGTCCAGCAGGGGAGAAATTCATTTGCTCCTGGAGCAGCTTTCTCCAACCTGTTCTTTGAGCTGTTGGACTGCAAGCTTCATAATCGCAGCCAGTTCATCCCTTAGCATCAAGAGACCAAACTGTGGTAGTGGGCTTAACAAATTCTTCTGTACGCGGTTCTTTAAACACACTCCAAAATGTATTGCTGTGGAGATGGCATGGTGAAGTTCTGTTCCTACCTAGCAGGAAGTGAACAGACTCTTGGCCTTCCCAGTTCTCTGCCTGCTGGGAACAGGAAAGAGCAACAGTCTTAATACATATGTAGCTCCGAATTCTCCAACATGCAGTAGGATGGAGACCTAACAAATATATGCTACATAATGGCACAAAGAGACACTCCATTCATGAATGTTTTACCCTTGCTGACTATGCAAGGAAAGGTTACATTATGGAACAATCTTATTTGTTATGAAAATGTGTGTTATTGGATGTTTAGCCGTTAGTTTAAATGGAAATGTGGTAGACTGAAAGGATAGATTAAACATTGATCTAGAGAAGAGGGAGGGAAGGGTGTCATTCACTGAAAGTATATGTTGACTGGATGCCAGAAATAGATGTGGTCACCTGTTTCTCCTTCTGCTCCTTTTCTACCATTGTTGCTTGTTTTTTTCCCTTGCTCCTCCAGGTCATTCTTGCCAGTGATGGCTTAAAGTATGGTTTGCAGAGGGTTTTTGATATTAGTCCTAAGGCTGCAGATTCAGAAACCTCTGGTTAAACCAGTGTCCTTGGCTTAAGCAGTTCAATAAATTTAGTGCAAATTGGGAGGCATAAAATACAAAACCAGATGGGAATGTGGAGTTTGTAGTCTCTCCTTCAGGTACAAACTAAAAGTTCAAATTAGCATTAAAAAGGGGGAATCCCAGAATTTCAAACATTTCTGGAGATGCAAACTCCAAAATATCAGGCCATTAGAAGACGTTCTTTAGCAGATGATCTTTGCAAGCAGAAGCTTTAAAGATAATTGGTACCATTTCAAACTGGATGCAATTATTTTATGCCTTGGTGAAACATTAGTTTGAGAGTCAAGATACAAATCTATCCATAAATAAAAGAAGCAGATAGATCAGAACCAACACTCAGAGTCTGCCCATTTACTTGGATTGAGCTTCATTTCTTAATCCTCATTATTGGTCACAAACATTAATATTATCTCTTCCAACACCAAGCCTTGACTGAATCAGTTGAAAAGGAGAAATGGAGCTGGGTATCATCAGCTTATTGATAAAATTGCATATTATCAGAGAGAAAAAATAAATGAAAACTCAAAATCCTGAAAAGCCCTCCAGCTCAAAAGTCAGTCTAGCAGCACTTCTTTCTGGAATTAGCCATCTAGCAGGCTAATTTGAGCACAGTGCCTCCAATCCACAGCCAAGACCAGATGGTCCAGAAGGATACCATGGTCAATAGCAGCATAAGCTGCTGAGAAATCCAGTAGAATTAGGAGAGTGTTACTCCCTGTAATTTCTGCTTGCAAAGATCATCTGTCTGAGTGATCGTGACAGCTTCAATGTCACAATTAAGTACTGCCATTTTTATACATGGCCCTCCAAAGGTAAACAAAAGAGAATTATTTTCAAACTGCACAACTTAGTTCTGAGGGAAAAACAAGAGAGTTATGGATATACTGCAAACAAATGAGTAAGGGGCTACATTCTAAGAACTGCTATAAGTTATTATCCCCTTTCCCAATCTGAATTCATGCTGGGGAGCAGAATTCCTGGCCAATATGGCCTGAGAACATGCTGGTTGAGGACACCTGTAGTCCAAAACATCCTGAACATGGCAGATCAGGGAAGATGGTATATTAAACTGAGATATGAATCCCAGAGTTCCTGGTTTATGACATTTATCCTGCTTTTTTCTAAAAGAGATCAGGATGATATATATAGTTACTGTATCTTTCCCTAATTTATTTGCACCAACAAGGTTCGAGACCCAGTAGAATTTAAACTGGATCTCTCCGCTTGCAGTTCAACATTGCAAAGATTCCAGTACATTGGCTCTCATTAGATCTTGAATTGAAGTGCTATCCAAAGATAAATCATGATTATATATCCTCTTTTCATGACCATTAGGAGGCAACAGCCACATTTAGAGAAAACTAAAGCACAGCATAAGAGCGGTGGCAGTCCCTTGAGCTGTTATTCTCCACATCTAGTACATCTAGTACAAATTGATAGCAGAGGGTTCTGCTTCATTTTGTTTGCAGTCTGGTTGCTATCACTTTGGGACTAGATCCTCCAGGTGACTGCTTAAATTTACTTGGATTATCCTGTTAGGGAAAAGAAAGCCTGTTCTACAATGCTGCGCCAAAAATGTAGGCAGCAACCAGCTTCACATACTTGTTCTGGCAACGGTTGTATTGCTTTATTTTCTGCTTACAACTGTTTAGCTGTCCAAAAACGTAACTGGAGATCATTGTTACAGTTTCTTGAGCAACATTGTTCTTGAAGGGCATGACGAAACCTGAGCCATCAGCCCTTCCAAATGCGAGCAGCCTCAAAAATAAACTGTAATCCATTTAACAATGTGTCCTGCTAACATCTGTTTCAACAGAGTAGCCAGGTGACATGGGACAATATTCCATATCTGAAAGAGCCACTAGAAGAACATTATGAAAACGTACTCCAATTTTCTTTCCTTATTTTACCATTCTGTTGGCTAATGATATAAATTCCCCAAGCTTTTGATGAATCTTTAATTATTTGTAGTTTCTTTAGTGTATAAATGTACTGTTATGCCTTTCCCTGTAACAATGATCTGTTAACGCAAAATAATTTATCTCATACTTATTCCACCTATTTTAAAATGTTTTTTCCTCATTTGTGGGGGGGGGGGAGTGTGTTGGGGATTATGTGTGTGGGACTTGGTTTTTCATTTCATTTCATTCATTTATTCAATTTGTATCCCGCCCTTCTCCCAAGGGACTCAGGGCGGCTCACAACATTTTTTAAAACAAAAACAAACCCACAATCCCCGCCGAATAAAACCAATTAAAACCCAAATATTTTAAGTTGTGATATTTAAAATTTTCTAAAAATCAACCCGATTTAAAATCCTCCCTAGGCCAGGCCCGCTTGCT